ATGTAGTTTTTTGCTGATTGGTGAACCTCCGTCTCTCTAAGATGCTCTTTTTATACCCAGTCATGTTACTCACCTGTTCCCAGTTAACCCAATTACTTGCAACTTGCAAAATGTATCGCCAACTGTTTTCTTTTAGTACCAATTACTTTTCCAGTCTTTATTTTTTTACTCTGTCCCAACTTTTTTGACACATATTGGTGCCATCAAATTCAAAGTGAAATATTTAATGTCTCAGGTTAAACATCTGATATGTCTCTTCTCTTGTTCGCACTTTAAAAACAAAATTAAATTCAACTGAAAATGGAAAAAAATGAAAGGCTTTTAAGCAGAATCTTTTATGAATATGTGCTTTTGACCCTTCACCTTGCAGAAGTGGACCGCCGTTTGCGCATCTTCCACGAGAACCTAAAGACTGCTGAGAAGCTCCAGGCTTTGGATCAAGGTTCAGCTGAGTATGGAGTCACCAAGTTCAGCGACCTCACCGGTACGTAACTGTGAATGCATGTCCACAGTTTCTGATGAGAGAACGTCTCTTCTGCTTTCCACGTGTTGCTTCAGCTTAAGAAAACAAAGTGAAATATCCTTCTGCTTTTCTCCAGAGGAGGAGTTTCGCTCTACATACTTAAACCCACTGCTGAGTCAATGGACTCTCCATCAACCAATGAAACCAGCTGCTCCCGCCAAAGGCCCCTCGCCTGACAGCTGGGATTGGAGGGATCATGGAGCTGTCAGTCCTGTTAAGAACCAGGTGCCAACAAACAGAGTTCATTATGGGGCGGTCACCCTAAAGAGCTTGTTGGTAGCGATTAAATTGTACACCGTGCCCACTTTATGCTGATCAGGGTGTGTTTTTTTCTCCTGCAGGGAATGTGTGGATCTTGCTGGGCATTTTCTGTCATAGGCAACATTGAAGGCCAGTGGTTCCTGAAAAATGGAACGTTGCTGTCACTTTCCGAACAAGGTGACACAGAAAAGTAGCACAGATGATAGAATTAATCAGGGGTTTTCAAATCCAGCATAAAGTCTTGACATGCTTGAGTACTGATTTGTTCTTCACAGAGCTGGTTGACTGTGACGGGCTGGACCAGGCGTGCAGAGGCGGGCTTCCATCAAATGCTTATGAAGCTATTGAGAAGCTGGGTAGAACTAAGATTTTATTCTGTGTTTAGCAATAAGTAAAAGCAGAGAGATGTTTTTACTGATAACACAAGCAGATTTTTCCTTAAAGTGCTTTCTTATAATCTTTGCCCCTCGTGTGGTTAAGGGGGTCTGGAGACTGAAAGTGACTACTCCTACACCGGGCACAAGCAGAGGTGTGACTTCACCACCGGGAAGGTGGCCGCCTACATCAACAGCTCCGTGGAGCTGCCCAAAGAGGAGAAGGGTGAGCACACAGTGGTTTAACTGCACGGACATGTCCATGATTTTTATCTTATTCTAACTATAGTGAGTCTGTTTGAAACTAAGGGTTGTTGAATTGACTCATTTTGATTTATTTTTGTATTTTTTCCTTCTCAGAGATCGCTGCTTGGCTGGCTGAGAATGGGCCAGTCTCTGTTGCTCTGAATGCTTTTGCAATGCAGGTAGGAGGTTTTTTAAGAAGTTAAATCACTCCTCAAAACAACAAGAAGCAAAGCAGCTCAGTCGTTGCGCAGTGTTTATTTTTAAGAGGATGAATTCTTTTTGTTTTCTTTGTTTTTTAGAGGTACTTGAAGAAGTTTATAGTGTAGTCAAAATCAGAGAAGGGTATCGGTGAGTATGTGATAGATAATAAGTACTGATTTGCAAACAACTGGACACGAATAACTTGAGCTTATTATTTAATATTACTGAAGTATATTTGTGACTAACTAAACAGCTCAGTCTCTAACAATCCTCTCTTTAAAGATGTTTTGGGGTCAGCTTGAAATTAAGATGGAAATGTAAAAGTGAGGTCAGAGGTCAAATGTGATGTGATATTTAGATGCAAACATACTGTGATAGTTAGAATCCCCATTTATCATTCTATTGTCTTATATAAGAGTATAAAAAGACATTGTCATTATTAACAATGGCAATCAGAAACTGAGTTTTAAATCCCGCTATACAACATTAATATCACTTTGACCTTCAGATCAGTCTGTTGACCTTGACAAAAAGGTCAGAGTTCAAATGTGACATCATATTTTAAGTCTTTATATAGTATTTTCTATATGTTGACAATACACACTGCACTTGTAAGAGTCATAGTTTCTATGTTATAAGGCTTTTGCTCATTTTTTGTTTGTTTGTTTGTTTGTTTTTTTTACCAATAAACCTTTATATTGAACTTGAAGACTTTGGTAGATGAAAGCTAAATTTTAATAGGTCATTAATGTGACCCCACTCTACAAGCCTACAAAGTTTTACCAGAATGAAACGAACATCAGCTCCTCAGTGGAGGTGTCAACTAGGAGTGGAATAAAAATATCAATAGAATATGTCACGTTGCCTCCTTGTGTAATGTTGGTTTATATGTTACTGATTTATTAAAACATTCCTAACCCCCACCAGTTTGACTTATCAGAGTCAGTACTTGGTGGTGGTGCTTATCAAACAGCAAAGTCGTATGTAGATCATTTTCTTGCATGTGTATAGTATCATGGGCAGTGTATTGTTACTGTATCATATCAGGAGTGACATATTTCCTGCCCAAATAATAGCAATAATAGCTTCCTACCATGCAAGCACAGCATGAGTGGAGGTCTCTTTTTTTCCTCTTGTACCTTCCCGTTGTTGTGTAGATTTCAGTGTTTTTCTGTAACGCTACCGATCTCCGACTTGTAACCCCGTGTGATGTCTGTGTTATGAGTGTAAGGTCGGGGGGGGGGTTTCCATCTCGCTGCAGGGCAACCTGCTAGTGACAAATAAAAAAAAGCTGTTTCATTCATTCATTCATTCATCTAAACTGGACATAAACGATAATAAAGATAATAATCTTAAGATACATGTTATTCTTACATTATCTTGAATATCATTTCATTCCCTCCAGTTTTACAGGAAGGGTATATCTCACCCTCTGAAGATTTTCTGCAACCCCTGGATGATCGACCACGCTGTGCTGTTGGTGGGATACGGAGAACGTAATTTTTTTATTTATTTTTTTGTCTTAAATATTTGCCCAGTTTCTGGAAAGCATAGACACATCTTTTTGCCTCGTTTGTCAACAATGTTTCCCCCCTGTGTTCTCAGGTAAAGGTATTCCCTTCTGGGCCATCAAAAACAGCTGGGGGGAGGATTATGGAGAGCAGGTGAGACAGCACGACCTTTCAGAACACTTATCATTCTAAAAATCTTTCATTTGAAACCAACTACATGACTGAGGATCACCGACATAAAGCACCGTTTTCATAATAGAAGTGCTGATCCGTGCACTAGGCTTTACAAAGCTGACTGTTGTTTCATAGCATAATGAAAAAATGAATTCTGTTCATGTACAGCTGTGAGGGAGTGAGTGTTAATTTGTTCTTTCTCCTTCACACAGGGTTACTACAACCTCTACAGGGGCTCCAATGCATGTGGGATCAACAAGATGTGCTCATCTGCTGTAGTCAACTGAACCCCTAACACCTCCTACACACACTCACACTCACACTCACACTCACACTCACACTCATCATCATCATCATCATCATCATGCTACATGCACCACAGCTGTCAACTGACCCCAGCTCCACATCACTTATCCAGAATGCACAAGAGCTCAACACGCACACATGTGAAGTCCTGCTGATGTTTCTTCTCCGTTAGACCAAACCAGTGTTTTACCAGCTCTAATAAAGCTAGCTTTGATGTGATACTGAAACTTTCCAGTAATTTTAAATCAAGATTACATCTGCTTTTTCTGTTAGTCCTGAAGCTTGGTTAAAATGATTAATGTGTTTAAGGTAACAGCTTATAAGTCATCTTTACTTACAGTAACAGAGCCCATGCTCATAGTGGTGAGCTGATGGTATGTGCTTCAAAGAGTTTTTGAAAAACAAGGCTTTGATTCTGAAGTGGTTTACTGCACAAACTCAGTTTAGTGCAATGTAATTGCAATAATAGCTGTATAACAGTGAGAAATGAATGATGGGAGTTGAATTAAAAAAAAGTGTGAAATCCAGTTGTTTGTTATTTTATGATCTACCTATCCATTTTCTTCTGCTCAATTCAGGGTCACTGGGGGGCGCTGGAGCCTATCCCAGCTGCCATGGGGGAGAAATGAGGTAAACCCTGGACAGTCTGTCACAGGGGTAACACAGAGAGACAGGCAACCTTTCACTGGAAATTTAGAATCACTGATTCACCCAAGTGCATGTCTCTGGACTGTGGGAGGAAGCTGGAGAACCCACAGATGCTCAAGAAGAAAATGATGGGTTCAAACCCAGAACCTTCTTGCAGCAGTGCTAACCACCACACCACTGTGCTGCCCTATTTTATTATAAAGTTTTTCATGTGCACTGAAACTATAAACTGGTTGACAGTACAATTAAAGCATTACTTTTTATAATTTATTTAGTGCATATATAATAACTTTAACCATAAGGCAAAATTAACTTCAAATAACTACAGCGGCCTATAAAGGGAGAAAACATTTTAATCTGTTTATGATTTTAAACGGTATGTTGGGAAGAAGCAGGACAAACACAATGTAGGAAAACACTTTGAACGATAGAGGAGCAACAACGTTCGTGTTCTTGAATGTTCCTTTAATCAAAACAACCTCATTTTCCCACAATGCCAAGGGAAG